ATATATATATAAAATTAAATAATTAGACAGAAAAGAAAATCTGTCAGATAGAAAAATGCCTTGACCACCTGCAGTTGAAGCCGATCATAAAGCTATGTAACATAGTTACACGCATGCAACCGCTTTCTCTCTTACCTTCTTACTGGAAGTACGACGAGCGGTGAAAGCGCGTCAGATTAGGAAGAGATCAGCCGAGGCGCAGCGACCTGTCGCCGATGAACCGCAGAAATCCGTGGGCAGCCTCGCGATGAAGCGCGCATCGTCGCGATGCGACCGTCGTGAATTTCTAGCAAGGCCGCGCGCGAAGCCCCACGGCCAATCCAGCTCTCAGATTCTCAGCGAGCGGGCAAGATCGATCGATCGAGAAAATCAAATTCACGACAGCAGTTCAGCCGCGGCGTAGCACGCCGATCGTAGCACTCATTTCTCCTCCACGGATTCGATCGAATCGCTTCACGAATTCATTCACGAGACGTCGGCTACGAGAATCCTCCACTATACTCAATTGTATAACCGAAAGCGATCGAATGTTGAATTCGATCGAGAATAGAATTTACCGAATCAATGAGTCACTCGCGGATCTCGCTAGATCGCTGACGCGTCCGCGTCGCTACGCATCATTCTCAGTTTCCTCGCGCTAATCATTCCGTCATTCGACACGAAAAGCCGACTGTCTAACTTCAGGCGAATATCGATCAAATATTACATTATACGCGATAATGACTCACCGTTTTTGCGCGATCGCGGATCACTGAATTGAGAATTCCGCGCGTCAATTCGCAGCGAAGGAAACTCACTCGCACTTTCATCACGCGATCGCGCGCTTCTTCGCACCCTCGTACGTTCTTCTCTTCCTCTCTTTTCTTCTTTCTTTTATTTATTTCGCGTGCGGCGATGCGCGAGATGACGAACGGACGAGCGAGACCGACGAGCGAAAGAAAAATTGCACCTCACCGCGCTAACAGCCGATCGCATATGCGAACACGATAGTCGCGATAGTCGCGGGGCCGATAGACGAGGGGGCAGCGTGCAGAAGCGTGCGGGGGCGATCTAGCCACGCCGAGTGCAACGTGACCGCCGATCCGCGACCGATCCATTGGCCACGCGCGTCACGTGGTGCCGCGGTCACGTTGCAGCCGCCGTGGCCGTCGAGAGTGCACCTCTCGCTCTCGCGAGGGGGCGAGCGGGCGCTTCCTTGTGTCTCTCTCCGAATGAGGCCGTCCGCTTCTCTTCCAGCTACCTCTGAGTTTTCCACGAGATCCGGGATTCTCGTGAAACATGCAAAATTCCTCCGAAAATATGTCCTAAAAACCCGCTCCCTTCTTTAACGCTCATTTCCGAGAGATCTTTACTTAATCGTTCTGATTACAAATAGTTTTCAATAGTTTTCTGAAAGATTTAAATTTTATTTTGATTTTTTTTCTGATTTTGATTTCTTAGAGATTTCTTTAAGTTCAAATATTTAAATATATTTAAGTATACGTAATATTATCAACAAAATATTTGTGCGAATTAACAAATATTTGCTTGACATGTGCTTCGTGTTGCATATAACATTTCTTTGAATCGACGATTTTTTTCTTAGTGTAAGATATTTAATTTCAAGCGTTGAAAAGAATGACGAAGTCGAATTTAAATTATTAAGGAAAATCTGTCTGCGTGAAATTTTCATTTTTTAACAAGTTTAAGTAAGCAATCTCCCCCCCCCCCCCTCCGTAAAATCGTAATATGAGAAGAGAGATATTCGATGCATTTTTTGAGTACAGTTAGAGAAATGTATTTAATTAGAAAATAGCTAATGGAGTGCGATTAACAATTCTATTACATAATTCGTAGAATAACAAATAGAACGAAAGCCCCTTCGATATATCACACATTTATATTGTTATGCATTTAATCCGTTTGGTGAATTGTTTATACATTTTGTATTTAGCGAAACGGTTTGATATCGATTTAAAGCGTCGAACCGTGGAACGAAGTTGCTATTGATCTGGCAAAACCTGACTTGCGTAACAAACTTGTGTTTGCCCGATTAAAGGCTTCGCGTGTTAAATAAGACGTATATTTAACTCATTACATGATTATTAAACTAGATACTATCATTAGACGTATATTCAACTTCATCACGACTCATCGATTCGATATAACGCACAGTTTATCATTTAATTCGTATTAAAAATTCACCCCAAACCACTTTTAATTACAGATGTAATACAACGATATATCATGCATGCCTCTGTAAATTATTTACGATTTTACGAAATTTTTTATTTACGAAATTGCAATAATTATTAACAGACTGATTATATGAAGAAACAAAGCAGACAATCGACGACTATAAAAATTCTTAATATAAACATAATATTATTTCTTCTAAATAGAAAAAGAACACTTTTATGTATGATATACAAAAAAATATTTTTAGAAAAGAAATATTTTTATAAATAATTACACAAACTTATTTCTGTGTGGGCAGATTTGCAAAGTGAAAGTTAATCGCGTTGTAAGGGCCTTGTTGGCGGGATAGTGTAATTTACTCGTAATCACCAGGTCCATTTAAGAGAACCATAACAGGATTGCGGGGACAACAATAGGATTATGCAGTTATTTCTAAACGGATTCGCGTAATTTCGAGCGAAAGTGTCGGACGAAACCAAGTTCACCAGGGAGAAACAGGGTGGGGTGTGGAAAGTGTGCGAGAATATCGGTACGCTATTTCACGTTTGCGATGACGCAACGAGCCTAGTGCAAGCTGTCGCAATTGTTGCTCGCCAGCAATTATACGCAAAAGTTGCATACCTTCATTGCTATTTTCCTTTCGGCAATCCTGCTCCACGAGTTTTCTTTTCTTTCTTTCTTTAATGAGAAAGAATAGTAAAGAGATCATTACAATTATCATTTGTGTTATCTGTTAACTCAACAATTCGGTTATGTGATCATTTTATAGTTGCCTCCATCCTACATATTTATGTTTTGCTTTTACAATTAATTATAGATGATAAAATTTTATTACTAAATCATTAGCAATCTCACAAAATATTATTGAAAGTATAAATGATGAAGTGTGATATATATATATATATATATATATATATATATATATAGATTCATTTCTTGAAATATTGGCTTCTATCATCGAATCTGCTATTAAATGTTTATTTTTAAGAATAGTGATTTATATTTTATATTAAGTAAAAAAAAACTATAAATGTAAGATAATTATCTATGTTAAATAGATAAACCGAACAAATGTTTTGTTAAAGTATCTAAAAATTGGGTCAGATATTGAATCCAAAAATGCAAATGATAATTAAATTATAAGAAAGATATAATAGATGTAATATCGCAGAATCACCGTACATTTTTAATTTTTGCAAAGATAACAAGATTAACGATGAACAACTTTCTCTTATTTCCTTGTCATAATGAAATTATAGAAATCTTTCCCCTCTCTCTGTAATCATTATTAATTTTCGAAAAGAAAATGTTATCTTATATCGTTCTCTCAACTACACTTAAATTCTTTTTTCTATTCGGGGGAAAAAGTTTAAAAAAATTTAAAAAGATTATCACCATGGAATACTTCTTTATAATAAATCTTAATAATAATTTCTGTGTTTTTATACGGAGGTAGAGGATTCTTTTTTTCAGCTATAAAGAAATTGGATATTTGTAGAATAATTACAGTCATTTATTCGTTTTTCACATATAAAACGTATCAAGAGAAGAACGGCTCCTCCGATCTTTCGCAGGTTTCCGTTGCTCTTGCTACATCTTTTATTGCGCGAAACCATATGACATAATATAAAAATGACTCTCCCTAAAAATCCATAATGAGTGTTTCCGTCCGTTCATTCGGAGTTATTAGATTACGTTTACTTTAATCTCTCTTTCTTTCTCTTTCGGTGCTCTACTTTTTATATTCGTAATCAATACATAATATTTGACATTATCCTGTCTGTTCTATAACTAAATATTTTCTCTATACATTCTCTATGATTTATTCCCTAAATTCCATGCGCTTTTTTACACTATATATTATTATTATTATTATTATTATTATTATTATTAGTTTATAATATAATCGTGCGATTCTCTAACGATATCAATCAATCTTATTTCATCTCCTCGCGATTACTTATTACACACATTACTTATTAAACATATTCACGGTACACCCGTATATTTATACATATTTAAAATTCACATAAAGAGATAAAAGATAGTTGAAAGACTATTTCTGCGGCAAGCAGAGGATAACAAACAAATATTTCATGCATTACTTCTTTTTTTTAATGGCAAATACGTTACAAGTAAGAAGAGAGGGTGTGCGTCACAGCGGGATCCGACCACGAACCAATCGTGAAAATTCGTATTGTTATTTTTGATGAAAAATATCACCTCAGCCAGAAATCGAACCTGGATCATCCCCTGCTTACGGGCAGGTATCTTATTCTTTTGACTACTAAGACATATGGTGACATTCATCGCAATATCGGATGAATATCTATGCAATATATGTATATGTGTATAAATAACACTGTATTGTTTAACATGTTCGAACAACAAC